GTGAGCCAGGATCACAGCACTGCAATCCAGCAGCCTGGGCAACAGGGAGAGAGAGCCTCAAACAAACAAGATCTATGACTACTTTTCTATGATGATTTACTTTATTTGAGCACTTTTGAAGATGTTCTAAGATAACCTGTAAAATAACACACAAAATATGTGGAATTACATGATTATCTTAATGTGTATCAATTATTAGGTTGGTGCAAAAGTAACTGTGGTTTTGCTATTAAAAGTAATACAAGCGGGTGGATCACGAGGTCAAGAGATCGAGACCATCCTGGTCAACATGGTGAAACCCCATCTGTACTAAAAATACAAAAAAATTAGCTGGGCATGGTGGCGCGTGCCTGTAATCCCAGCTACTCAGGAGGCTGAGGCAGGAGAATTGCCTGAACCCAGGAGGCAGAGGTTGCGGTGAGCCGAGATCACACCATTGCACTCCAGCCTGGGTAACAAGAGCGAAACTCCATCTCAAAAAAAAAAAGTAATACAAAAACCGCACTTACTTTTGTGCCAGCCTAACATATAATATAATAATCAGAAATAGCTTATAAAGCAAAATCAAATAACTAGCATTCTTTTTTTTTTTTTTTTTTTTAATTTTGAGACGAGTTTCACTCTTGTCGCCCAGGCTGGCGTGCAATGGTGCAATCATGCTCTGTTCACCGCAACCTCCACTTTCTGGCTTCCCCTGCCTCAGCCTCCTGCATAGTTGGGATTACAGGCACCCGCCACCATGCCCGGCTAATTTTTTTGTACTTTCAGTAGAGACTGGGGTTTTGCCATGTTGGCCAGGCTGGTCTTGAACTCCTGACCTCAGTTGATCCACCTGCCTCTGCCTCCCAAATTGCTGGGATTTACAGGGTGGGGCACCATGGCCGGCCCGGCATTCTTAATAATTGTTTGTGAGCAACAACAAATGAAAACAAAAACATACAAACAAAATAAACAGTATTTTGAGATACATTAGTTTGTAAGTCAATCACTCTAAACTTCTAAGTTGTTTTAATCATGTTTACAATACAGGAATCTGAGTATAGTAGTTCCCATGAGTTAAATTTTTTCCTTTAGTTCAGTTTTAAAGCACAATAGTGTTTCTTTATAGTTTTCTAAAAATATTAAGAATTTTGTGCTACTTTTGTTCTCCTTAATTAAGTATTACTTTTCTCTTAAGGGCAAGTTTTTCAATTAGGAACAACTTTACCCTTAAGCTTATTATTATCCATTTAGCACAGAATATTTCAGTTTTAATTTCACTAATCAGTGCATTTGGAAAGATTCCTCAAACACTTTTCAGCTATACAAAGTTATCTCAAACAATTTGCTTTCTCTATGCTAATATTTTATTGGCCCTTCTATTTCAGGTTCAAATATGTAAAACATCGTTAGGATTCTTGTTACATTTGCATTATAATCCTAAGGAAATGTTTATAGTTTTATTGCATTGTACTATTAATTGATTTTTTTGTCTGTGCTTTTGGACTTGAGTGAAATTATCTGCTGTCTAATAAATGTTGAGGTCTTAGTCCCATTAGTTTATTGTATAAAAGATATCTTAAACATTTTGACATTGATGACGGCATAGTAGCAGAAATCCCACATAATCCTGGTTTGATTGGTCCACCAGTGGAAAATTAACCTAAGAAGAATCATCCAGCCATTTGTGTTGTAGCTTGGCATGAAATAACAGTGTAAATAAGATCAAGAGGATAAAGAAGGTGAGGGAATTAGCAGAGCATTGTTGGAAATGATGCTGGGAGATGCCAGAGAGACAGAGACACTAAAACATGCAAGCCTTAGCACCAAAACCATGATTGGGACCTCAGTTTTAATATGTTAAAGGTAATGTGAATGTGTAATTGTTCCTTGCCACCAAAATACCTAATATAAAACTTGGATAAATGGCCATAATTAAGAAACCCATAGTCCAAAACAAATGACTGCATTATTAACACTATTAATAGGATCGAAGAAGGAGAATATGTCCTGGGGAATAGGAAGAACATGCAGAAGAAATTAAGGTGTACCGTACATTTAGTATTAGTCTTTCTGCATCTGTATTATACTGAGTGACAGTGAGTTACACAAAGGCAAGACTTTTTTCAGTATTGTTCTGCAGCCTGTCATCCGTAGATGTGTAATGTCCGTATCTTCCTTCCATTCTTCTTTCCTTCCACACTTCAACAAACATGTCTTTATCATATTAAGTATTAAACAATTTAAGGGGTAAGAGGTGAAGAATTTTTTATAGCTGTTCCAATATTCAAATAATTTATTGTCTGGTAGTAGAAACAGACTAAATCCAATTTTTTTTCTGAAAAAAAAAAAAAAATTCTAAAAGATGTTAATGGAGAACATTTAATCCTCCTTTTCACACTCCCTGGTGGAGAACCTCACTAGAGTAACACTACAGTTTATTTCCACTCCGACGTCTTCTCCGACCCAGGCTTGATGCATATGATGGAGATGGTGTGAGGTGGAGATTGGCCCACTTAGCCAAGGGCTTTTTTCTACTTTTCATAAAATGTGAGATTTATTTATTTATTTTTATTTTTAATTAATTTATTTTTTTATTGCATTTTAGGTTTTGGGGTACAAGTGCAGAACATGCAAGATAGAAAGGAGAGAGCTTACATTCCCTACAATTTCATTTTTAACTTTATTAGGGCTAAATCCCTATGGGAAGAGAACTTCAATTGTTCAGCTGGGTCACTGACTCTCTAATGCAGAGATAATCATAGATGATATTATATTCTTCTTTATCCCTATGTTTGTTACTAATTACTCTTGGACAGAGAAAAAAGGGTTGATTATTGATTTTTAAAAAAATTTTAACAGAGAGAATAAAGGCTGTTAAAGAGTATTTTAATGTGACGAACTTTTTTTTTTTTTTGAGACAGAGTCTCACTCTGTCGCCAGGCTGGAGTGCAGTGGCACAATCTCGGCTCACTGCAACCTCTGCCTCCCGGGTTCAAGCAATTCTCCTGCCTCAGCCTCCCGAGTAGCTGGGATTACAGGCGCACGCCACTACGCCCAGCTAATTTTTTTGTATTTTTAATAGAGACGAAGTTTCACCATGTTGGCCAGGATGGTCTCGATCTCTTGACCTCGTGATCCGCCTGCTTCGGCCTCCCAAAGTGCTGGGATTACAGGCTTGAGCCACCACACCTGGCCTAATGTGACCAGCTTTAACAAGCCCTTTTGATGTCATATTTTGTTGCAGCTGTGTAAATTAAATATCATCACCCTAATCCTCTCTATGTCTGTGACATTCCCCATTTTGAGCCTCTTCCCCAGGACCCTCATACATTCCTTGATGGCCATTCTCACCCAACTGCATTTGCAAAATAGCCATCATTTCTGGCACATTCAATCTATGTTTTCTTAAATCTCATTTCTTTATCGATGAACATTCTAGTAAAATATATATTTTAAACTCCAATACAAATAATATTATTTATTATAGATTTAAAATAAGGACACCCACTTTTGGAAACAGTAGAAACTAATCTCTCCCAGAGAAAAACTAGATAAAACTGGACCACACATATAAAAATCAACAGTTGTGGATAACAGTTTGGAAGTGTCAGAGAGAGTATAAGACAGTAAACATTATTGGTCCAGAATCCAACAGAAGTCAGAGGCAACAAGTAAATGGAATACATTTTTCTGACAACATTTTCCAACTCTGGAAAGATCACTGAGAGAAAGAAAGAGGCACTCTTGAGACCCTTGGGATTAGGAGGAAAGAAATAGGAGCCCAGGAATCATTAAGGAGTGATGATACTTAGGTAACCACATTGCTACATGTTGAGATCTAAACGTGCTCCTTTGTAAGTAAGAGAGAGAATTAGGAAGTAGGTCTGCTTTAATGAGTCCCATTTCCTGAAATTGGATTGAGTTGAACTCTAGTATCCTCTGGTGAAAGTAAACATAAACTCTGTATGAAAAAAAAATTGTTTAAGGTCTTAAATTTATCTGTGGAAAGAATATTGCAAATACAGTTCCCACCAAAGATGAACAAGTAATAAATGTACAGAAAGATGGTCAAGAAAAATAAGTGCCCAGAATGAACCAAAGAACTACAAAAGGAAAAAGTTCTTAAGAGAGATTTCAAGATATATTTGTCTTGGATATATATTTACTTGAAGATGCAAAATGAGAAAAGGGAAAAGCAATATTAGAATATATAAATTATCGTGTGTGCTTTTTTAAAAAGTAAGACACCGAACCAGAGTAAAAGTGTTACATGAAACAAGCAGGAGAAATAAAAGAAATCCATATTTAGAATTATTATAGTAAAATTGCTGAAAGAAAAAAATCTTTAAGACAGAATAAAATTAATATTTCAAAGGAAGATCAATCAATAAAATGGAATAATCTACATTAATAATAATGTTAATGTTGATGTAGATCTGCTGGCAGAATATAGAATAACTTAAAATACTTAAAAGTCAGCTTGGCTAAATAAGTCCATCTTGTAAATTTATACCAAATAACATATGATGCTCTAAAATTAAACTATATATAATTTTAAAGACAAAATTTATATATGAAAACTATAATTATCACCAGTTGTTAAATACTAAAGTGCATTAGTTGAGTAAAAATATATGTGTGTGTGTGTGCATATGTGTATGTGTCTATAGCCTGAAAGAAAACTGGAGATATAAAAATAAATAAAATAGCCAATACTTACATAAATCTAAACGATCATTTATCATACAAAATAGCAATAGTAATAGCTTATGTAATGTGAAAAGAAAATCGCAGTGTATAGGCTTGGAAAATGATAAAGGGAGTTAGTCTGCTCATGTCCTTGAATAAGGAGAAACATACCAATGCTAGAAATTTATATAATTCTATGTGTGACTACTATTCTAACAGGGAGGAAAAAGGTAATTATTATAAGACCTGGATAAATAGAGGGAAATGTCATATACATTGACTGGAAGAAAATATTGTAATTTGTGTCAAATCTTTTCAAATTTCATTGTAGATTCAATTTAAATAATTTTTTTTTATTGTACTTTAGGTTCTGAGATACATGTACAGATCATGCAGGGTTGTTGCATAGGTACATACATGGCAAGGTGGTTTGCTGCCTCCATCCCCCTGTCACCTATATCTGGCATTTCTCCCCATGTTATCCCTCCCCAAATCACCCATCCCCTACTGTCCCTTCTCTAGCCCCTCCAACAGACCCCAGTGTATGATGCTCCCCTCCCTGTGTTCACATGTTCTTATTGTTCAACACCGGCCTACGAGTGAGAACATGCAGTTTTTGGTTTTCTGCTCTAGTGTCAGTTTGCTGAGAATGATGGTTTCCAGATTCATCCATGTCCCTATGAAAGACACGAACTCATCATTTTCTATGGCTGCATAGTATTCCAATGTGTATATGTGCCACATTTTCCTTGTCCAGTCTATCATTGATGGACATTTCGGTTGCTTCTAAGTCTTTGCTATTGTAAACAGTGCTGCAATGAACATACGTGTGCATGCATCTTTATAATAGAACCATTTATAATCCTTTCAGTATATACCCAGTAATGGGATTGCTGGATCAAATGGAATTTCTATTTCTAGGTCCTTGAGGAATCGCCACACTGTCTTCCATAATGGTTGAACTAATTTACACTCCTACCAGCAATGTAAAAGTGTTCCTATTTCTCCACATCCTCTCCAGCATCTGTTGGCTCCAGATTTTTTAGTGATTGCCATGAGATAGTATCTCAATGGCATGAGATGGTATCTCAGTGTGGTTTTGATTTGCATTTTTCTAATGTCCAGTGATGATGGGCTTCTTTTCATATGTTTGTTGGCCTCATATATGTCAAGTGAAGTCTGTTGTCTTTCTCTTTACTCTGGGCAGGTCTCTGATTTGCTTAGGCCAGTAGGATGTTAACAAATTCAGGATTGCTCACTTTCTACTTTGGAACATGTCTGCCACCTTGTGGAGAAACCCAGAATAGCCTGCATGTGATGAGTGGCACGTAGCCCATTTGCCCATGTTAATTCAACCAACATCCTGGCAACTGCTGGAAATGTGAATGAGGCCATCTTAGATCTTCTGACACCAGCTGAGCACCAGGAGTTTATCAGAGAGACAAGCAGAACCAGCCAAATCATCTCAAACAAAAAGAAGTGCCATCTAACCCACAGAATCAGAAGTTAAGTAAATGGTGATTATAGAGGCACCAAGTTTTGGGATGGTTACTTTTCATAGTGATGGATAATTGATAAAGACACTCAAGAGTGACTAGAGCCAGATTAAGGTTGTTGAGTGGCAAATGATGCTGCTGAGCCTACACAAAACTTCCATCCCTATTGCCATGGCAGCTTTCCTCAGGAGCCCGTTGGACAAAGGAACTCGCCAACACTCCCAGTACAGGTAATCTAGTCCGCCTGAGTATTGAGAGCATTCCCTGGTCTTTGATGAACATTTACATGAGATATGATTTTTTTCACATTCGCTGACCACTCCCACAGTTCCGCATACATCTTTCCCACACTCTTTTGTTTTCCATCTTGTAATTTGTTACTCTCAATTCTTTGCCGTGTAGCTATAGCATTATTTTTCTGCGACAAATTCCTGCCCATTTAGAAAAACTTATTACCTAACGAATCAGCATAGATCTGTGTACATCAAGCAATCTCCTTTTCCAGGCAAAGTAGAAACCCTGGTACACAGCACAAAGCTATGCAAACCAGGGTTCCCTTTACACCGTTTTCAGAGGCACCCTTGAATGGGCAAATGCTCTTTCTTTCTATGGGCCAGTGACCCAGTTAATGGGCAAATATTAAAAAAAAAAAAAACTCAAACACTCTCTAGAATAGTGTGTATCAACTATGGGTCTAGCTTCTGAGAACTTGATGCTTTAATATCTGCCCTAAATGCATATGTCTGACATGTCTGAATCTGGACACCTAGTAATATGCTTGAGTCACATTGCTGGGAATTCCTGACTCCTTGTCTCTCCCTTACTCCTCCTCAGGAGCAGCCCTCCTCCTACAGGCATGCTATTCTACCAATATAAAGTCTACCACCCCAACCACCTCCTTATTTGGCTTTCTCACCCTAGACCTTGATACACTTTTCCTTGTTACCCCCAGGCCAGGTAACAGGCAACTAGGCACAGCCTCCATTCCATAGAGCCCACTGGAATTATTCAAACTAGCCAATCCTAAACCTGCCTTCCTGCCTCAGCTTCACCTGTTTCTTTCCATGGAAACCACAATACCAGCTCTTGCCCAAAAAATTCCCTTCTCCTATATTACCAGAGTTATGACTTTGGGGCTTCCCTATATGATCGCATGGCATAGAGCATTCCCTTCTTTTGGAGTCTGATTATAATAAAGTCTATGTCTGTGGCTGCCATTTCTTGATCTGTTGGCCTTAGCACACCCCGAATTTTCCATTAATACAAAAAACATTTGGAAACAGTCCCAAATTATCTTTCTTCCTCAATTAACTAGTTATATAGATTTCCCCATATGACTATAATTTTGAGGAGAAAGAGGGAGTCTTCCAGATATGTGCCTTGGAAATGTCAGTCACTTGCTGATGTAGCGTTTTGGTGCCTCCACTTGCTCGACCTTGATCTCCTATATATGACTTTCACTTGATACATGCTTGGTGAGTCAGATAACAGCCAGTTAATCATGGCAGTTCAGGTCTCATTGTAGGTGAAAGGCTAAAATCTAGCAAGCAGTCTCCACCAGGGCCCAGCAGGATGAAAGATGCTTTTAACGCTAAGGATAATTCTCTTCAGAAAGCAAGATGCACTTTAAAATCTTGAAGTTCTGATAGGTGGTTTATCTGTACCGGACTGCCAAAGGTTGCATGCAGCATCTGTATCGGTAACAGATACGCAAGTGCCTTGAATCGACTGGAGACATCAGGCTAAGTGTCAGAGCTACGATCATGTGGCCCGGATCTGCCACACAGCTTTTTCCTGTGATGCCATGTAGCCTGCTTAAGAAACTGTTGGCTTCTGTATCTATGCACGCATACACACATCCTGCCAGTTTATACATATATATGTATGTAAGGGCAATTTATAAAATATTTTAATATATAAAGTTTACATTTATACATGACTATAAAGTTTGTAGTTCATATGTTATGCACACAAAACCACACACATATATGTATACACATACATGTATAAACACATGTACATTAGTATATACATGTATGTGTGTGGTTGTGTGTGTGTATATAGTGTATACGTGTGTGTGTGTGTCTGTGTGAGTTTGTATAGGCAGAACATTTTTACCCCCATAACCAAAAGATAACCCTGGTAAACAGCCACATATCCCTTTGGGGAAGCATATGAAATATGATTTACACTTTGAATTTTTGGTAGCCTAGGTGGATCTTACCTCACGAGGATACAGTCTACCTTCCCTCCATTCAAGGGGTTCTTTTTCTGTGAACTAGATCATGTCTGACAATTTCGTGAGCAGTCACAACTCTTTGGGAGTGATTAAAGCATGGTCTGTGTTTACCACTGCAAGAGAGTTTTAATGATACAGATCAGGGGAGCCTCAAGGAAGACACCCTCCTATCACAGTCCTGGTAACTTCCAAAGATCATTGTGGAGGAGAATACTTCTGATTGTTGCTCTAGCTCTATTATGCTCATTAGAGTAACTAGCTTTCCTTTGTAACCACAGCTAGGTGCAGCCTCCTGGCCTCCGCGTGCCCAGCATCCCGTTATTGTCATGGAATTAGAGGAGCCAATTGTGATAGATTTGCCTAGGTCACGCTTGGCCTACAGAGAACTGAACACTACCTACCATTTTCACAACATTTGGTATTAACAGTCTTCTTAATTTTATCCATTTGAGTGGAATCAAGTGGTACGTCTCTGTGGTTGAACTTGGTATCTCCCATAAAAGGAACAATATCAAAAACGTTTTAATGTTTGTCTTGAGTATTTGAATATTTTCTTGGGAGAGTATCTTTTCAAATCTTATGCCCATGGGGTTGTTATATCGTTCAGTTATAAAAATTATTTATTATATTTGAAACACTAGTTCTCAGACATACGTATTACAACTATTTCATGCACTCCGTGAACTATCTATGCATTAGCAGTTTTAATTGTAATCAAATCCCATTCACATTATTTTGCTTTGTCATTACTGATTTATAGATAGGGATAAAATTTGGCTCTCCATAGCTGCATAGAGGCTTTAAGTGTAACTACATCTAAACGCTTAATGTGAGTTAGTGCCAAGGTTCATTTCTTTACCTGTGTTTTTAAATTTTCTGCATTGCAAATTAATTCAAAATCTTCCTTTCCTCCCTTGAATGGATGTAGTGACTTTTTCAAAACTTAATTGACTATATAAATATTGACCGAATTCTGGATGTTCTCTTGGGTTTCACTAATCTGTTTTTTCAGGTTTTGTGCCAATATCCTGTTGTGTTGATGACCGTTGACTGATAATGAATCCTGACATTAGGTAGGATAAGTCCTTTTTTTAAAAAAGTTAAATTGTTCTAGCTATTCTCGATCCGTTGTGGATGCCCTTGATCGTTCTCAGTTTGCTTTTGTTTGTTGCTTTATTCTTTTCTGTTTTGCTGGAGAAGATCTAGAGTTAACTCTAAAAATAATTGGCCCCTACAATATCTTGTTTCTTATGAAAACTATCTTCACCAGCTGTCATGGTGCTCAGTGAGGACTGCACAATCTGGCTGATCAGACCTAAAATATTTTCAAGCCCTGTCTAAGGTGTGGGTGTTGCTCAGCTAATAGTTTTTAGAATATTATTGTCTGCCTTATTTTGTAGAGTTTTACCCTTTGTACAAACAGATTAGTGTATATTCAACAACAACAACAAATAAACAAACAAACAAACAAAAAACCTCTCAAAGAAAGCTGTGTGTGAATTTTAGGAATTTTTCTTTACAAAACCCCCTTCTTACTGGCATTATGCCCAACAGATTCCAGCTGTTTTAGTCTCTAGGAGCTGCAATCACTTTCCCCTCGATTCTGAAAAGTACTGTCGTATGATGGGCGTCTGAGCACTGATACCAAAGTTTGGAATGTTAACCCAGACAAAAATATATCACGGATTTTACCTAGTTTATTTTCTGAGCTCCCTGTTCTATTTTTAGTTTATTGAGAACTGTCACCACGAACATATGGCACATTCTGTCAAATGATTCACTGGCATCTACTGAGATTATTTGAAATACTAAGGGCCAAAATTAGAGCTGAGCTCCTGGTTAAAACCTACATGTGATTTATAGGCTTGCTTACAGGCCATTAAATACAAAGGCTTTTCCTCACAGACCTTGCAGAGGGAAGCTACCCTCCCACCCCAGAACTAGTGCACAGCCAACACACTGCAGTCTTTGAAAGAAGTCACATTCAGTGTCTCAGCAGATCATGCTCATCACACATTTGAATTCCTAGACAGGTACCGTTATTCTGAGGTCTCTATCTGAGGCCTTAAACAGAACTCTTTTCAAGGAGCCTCTCTCTGCTCAAGCTTTCTTTCTAGAGTAGAAGGGTAAGGCTTGGAAACACTTTTCCCTACTCCAACTCAGTCTGCTCCAAGCTCTCTGCACCCCTACTTCCCCAACCCTTCCACTCCAGAGTCCACAGAAACACTGAAGACCTCTGTTTGGGTTTCCTTTAGCAGTGAGACAGCCTCCACGTGTGTTGATCCTCCTGACCCCTCTGTGAATGCCCTTCCTTGGGGGGGAATGCGACAGGGTAGATTGGTATTTCTCCTGATTTTAGAGACTTGCTCACACCATGCCAGCAACTGTTTAAGGGCTTAATTCTTTCTGCTTGACTTGTTGCTTTTGTCGGCTATTCCAGCACCTGGCAGCCCCAGTCTCCTTTGACCAGCCCAGCTGAGCTACAGACACTCTTTGTGTCTCTTTCTCTCCCCATCTCTTCTGGCTTTGAGAGTTTCGTTTATAAATTCTATTGCTTCTTTTTTTCCAAGAGGAAATTTTTTATGCTTTTTTTTTGGTTTGTTTTAAAATATACACATCTTTTATTAATTATAAGTATAATAACTTTGGAAAATATGGGTGCTTTTATTAAAAGAAAAAAATTATTTAAAAATTTAAGACCATCGGTATGGCCTTTCAACAAAGTCTGTACTAATTTACATTCTTATGATTTGTTATATGAGAATTCCCACTTCACTGAGCACCAAAAACTAGTGTTATCATTTTTCTGCTCTTCAACCATTTGGTGGCTTGGAAACTGAATCTTATTTATTCATATGTGTATTTCTCAGTCACACTTATTTTTATAATGTATTCTTAGAAAATGCCAAGTTTCTTTAGGATGTCAGTGTTTTGCTATTAGTTTTTAAAAGCTATTCTTTGTGAAATATATTAATAATTTTTTCTACTTTGGAAATACTCATTCCAAGGTCATCATGTATTATTTAATTTTTATGATTATTAAGGCTAATATTTATTGTTTTAACTGATAATTTTGCTTACTGTTATATTACACTGAATAAGTTTTAAAAAGTCTTCTCTATAGTTAAATAGCATTTCTGTATATAATTGGAAAATGTTTACATTTAATATCTTTAAATGTAAACATTCTTTTAAACCAATTATATTATATATTAAGTTATTGAATGTGTAGAATACATTGCATTTCCTTAATTTATAAAAATCAACCCACTGATTTCTTATATACATATATAAACACACACATATATGTTTTACTTTCTCATTGCAAAATTTAAAATAATAAGGATGATTATAAGAATATACTGAGCACTTGTAATACAGAAAAGCACTTACATTAAAATGCTTACAAAATGAACAAACAGAAAACCTTATGCCAAAAATATTTTCCAAAGATACCTGTAGGCATCTAGCAGCATTTTGAGAGATTACTGAACACTGGCTAAGAGCTAACATTAGGGGATCCACAATTGCTTTTTTAAACTATTGTATTGCATAATTCCTTACTACATGAATTTATCTGTTTAAAGGCTCAGAATCCATTGCTGGTTCAAGTCTGTCTCAAAGTGGGTCCACTGAGTGTATCAACCTGACCTGTGTTTTTTCAACCTGGTTCTGAAGATGTCGTTGGAACAAACATCGATGGAACACCCGTGTCGGCACCTGACACAGGGAGAGGATGATGGTGATAAAACGGGCTATGTGAAACCCCAGACTTGCTTCTTTCTTCAAAATATTAAACCAAAGCAATATAATATTTCTAGAGAAATCAGCAAACTCAGTGCCACATTAAAAGTCGTTAATGATGAAGGAGTAAAGGGTCTAACCATGTCTCTGTTGAACTTGGCCTGTTCGGAGAGTGAAGAAACAGAGAGGTCTGAGAGACGCTGGAGGATATTAGTGAGTTATCGTGAACTATTCCATGTCGCTTCAAACCGAAGTCACCGCTACAAATCCAGCCTCTTTACTAGAATCAGTCTGGATGGCCCCTTATGTCCGGTGGGTGGCTACGGACACGCTTGTCTCCAGTTGCTGACTGACTTACAAGCATAAAGGTTTAAATACTTCAGATGCTTTGACAGCACACGTGTGCCAGGAGGTGCCCAGTCAACCTCAGTCCTGTTACCAAAACTCTAGTCGAAGAGCCGACAGTAAACAAAAGCCACTCTCGGTTTTCCAGGTTTGAAAGTTAATATAGGAATTAAAGGCTTATAGAAATATTACAGGAACTACGAGAGGAAAGGTCAGGAAAGCTAACTCTGAACAGTAAGTAATTGAGCAAAAATTTCAGGAAAGCAACCAGAGATCTCAGCCAGAAGCTCCCAGTGACTGTCCTGGAAACTGCTCCAGTGCCAAAGGTTCTCTGTGAAACCCTCACTGATTGTGTTTGTGTGCAGCAGCCAAGCAGGGAGTTACCCTGCGTTCTTTGAAACGGTGCAGTGACACCTCTCATCTGTTCATTTGTCTGGCTGTGGCCTTCAGAGAATAATGGCTTCTCCAGATTTTCTGTCTTCCAAAGCTCACACAAGTGATTTTGTTGGCAAAGCTTAACACGGAAACATACGGAGGGAAGGTTTTGGGAAATGCACAGGAGACCTTGGAAAGCTGTGGAAATTATCTCGAATTGACAACAGTCAAATGTCACATGAAGAAATCAAATTACCTTATTTTATGAATGAAGCAATAACGTGTGACGTTGTTCAACATTTCAAAGCTATTAAGCAGCACAGTCATTTATTCACAATTGTAAGTTGCTCACCCCACCACCCAAAGCAAAGGACATGTCTTTTTTACTGCTACGATCTAAGAGACTAAAACATTATCGGTTGTGTGTAAGTATTAAATAAATATTTGTTTAAAAATTAGTGATAGCATAATATTTTATTCAAAAAGACATTGTTTTGTTTGCTCAGGAAATTTCCCTAGACATTTTAAAGACTGTATTTTTTTCCTCTATCTGCTCCCTACATAAGCCTGAAGCTATTCCCAGCATACATTAAAACTTCCAGATCTATCCTTTGAGCATTTTGAAATTTTCTATCTTTATGCTAATTATTTCCTTTGTCCTTTTATCACTTTCAGCAAACCTCACTCTAAAGCAGAAGTGCTAGTAAAGTTTTATTCTGGCCGTTTTTACACCGTTTACTCTTCTGAAATTTTCTCTTGTGAAACTTTTTACGCTTGTGAAATTGATGAACGGTTCTCCCTTCACTTTCTTATCTCTCATCTTTTCTTGTATAACATTTTGTATTACTTCAGAGTTCTCTAAGAACTCTTCAAACATCTGTCACACTGATTTTTTTTACCCTATGTTATTCAATTTTCCACTTAAGGACTCTTACACATTTTAACATTTGAAAATTACGAGTTTAATTTCAGTCTAACCTACTGATCTCAGCTTAGTAGATTTAATATTCTTTCACAACTTAATAGAAAAAGGAATTCTAGATACTAACTTTTCTTTTTCAGCAACTGTTTAATTGGAGGACCTTGGTTTGATTTTTTAAACTAGTGGTTCTTTTTAAAACTCCTTAATGACTTTATATTTCTGAGAAACTGGGAAAGAGCACGTTGGAGTGAGTTGTGAATGTTTTTGTCCAGTATTGGCTGTGTAGGCTATGCTAGTAATTTTTGAATTCTTGTTAAATAAAATCTTTTAGGGCAGATGAAGGAAGTTAGTTATTGCGGTTTAATAATTAGAGATTAAAGACTCAAGTGCTGGCGTGAAGAAAATGCAGAAAGAGGAGCAGCAACCTTGCTCCTCTGTCAACATGTAATTTCTGTATTAGTTGTGAGACCCAGTAATCTTGGTGATGTGCTACTCTTCACAGACGTGATTACCTTCTTATTAGACAGTCAAAACAAGTAATATTTGCCAATCACATGAAATTTAAGGCGGGCTTAAAAACATATACCTCAAGGAAAAACAGCTGCGTTGACAACAGCACAGGGCTCTCTTTATAAAACTATCCATGGAATAAATTTTGCCTTCCCAACAAGTGCCTTAGGATTTAAATAGGTTTAATAGCCTATATCACTTCATGTTAATTAGGGCTAAAGATCTTTTTCTGGGTTTGCTTTAAATTTATTAATCAATTTTTATATTGTACTAGCCATTCTCAAAGTTGTCAGATCACTGAAATAAATGAAAAGTGCAAAAGTACAAAAATAAAATAATATACACCCAAATTCTAATGTATTTTTATAAAACTCCCCCCAAAACTCTTATGATTTTAATTTAGAAGCACTGGTCTCTCTGTCTTCGATGTTCTTATTGAAATCACATCTTTTCTTGGTGTGTTTGCTGTCCTCCTTTCCAGTCCAGGCTCAGGTTCACTCTTACCTTTGGTATCTTTGGCTAATTCAGTAACAATTGAAAGAAGAGAGCAAGTAATTCCTTGAACTCAGATTGCTAATATTGAAAGAGAAACTCCCACTTTTAGTAGTTCATTGGTTGCTTTTCTTTCTTAATGATCATAAACAATCTAGCTCTGTTCTTTCCAGAGTTATGCTAATCTTTAGTTTTATTTATTATATGTACTCTACTAAAAGATACCTTTGGAACTCATTACAAAATGAGTCTTGACATTGTTTTCTGAAATACTATTATTTAATACATCATAAGTTGTATCTCAAGCAAAGGGAGTTGGTTAAATTGAAATTATTTTTGTGTTCTCTATGTTGTAATGATTATATAGTTGTCAATCAGAGCAGGGATCCAAGTGGCCTTGTAGCAATAAAATCATAGGAACGTTCTTGCTAGCGTGGGGAAATGAGCTAGGCCATGCTCGTCATTCTACCCTTCCTTGATTTTAAAATTCTTCTCAATATATCTTTTGAAATACATACCAATGCTTTACTCTGTTGGGATCTTTCAAGCTCAGTGAGAGCGAAAGAAAATCTCTCATCTAGGAGTCCACAAATGTGGAAAGTGTCAGTTGGCAACTGGCTGTGTCAACAGTTCACTTTCATGTATCATAAAGCTACAGATGAAGTCTGTCCCCCTTCAGAGGATAAACCGTGTCTCGGCTATAATGATTCCTTCTCTTCCCAAATTATAAGAACAGGATGGGGAAGTGATTTGAACGAAATGTCTGTGTTTTCTTTCTCAGGAAATAAGGAATAAAATAGCTCTTTTTTTTATAACACATCTGGTTTGAAGGGACTATTTCCTTACTTTTAAATTATAAAAATAAACATAAAAAATTAAACAAAATATTAACTTTTAATAATAGAGAAATAGAATAGAATATTATACTTGGGGTTTTCCCTATATTCCTCAGTACTGTAATAAAGGCTACAGAGAATTTGTCTTAAACATCCTTTGCAGTAACTCCTGGAGTAGGAATTATAACCTTTAATTAACAAACATTCCTGTTTGAAAAGTAATGAGTTTGCCCAAATTTTCAGAGCTCCTGCGAAGTCTTTTCTAGGATAGAGAATGTATTTCAATAAGCAAATCAGAGCTAAGATTTATTTTCCCCATGTGACCCTTTCCATGACTGAGGAAGGAGAAAGAAGCAGAAAATCATCCTTGCTGTTCTATGTGGGATCAATTTAATACAGAATAACAGTACCTGGAACATGGTGGCATACGTCACAAAAGGATATGAAAGAGTAAGACATTTAAAACTGTTTGTACTAACTAAAGTAAAATATGATGGGTATTCATCCAGGTTAACTTCCTGTCTTTTCTGCATATCATGTACTTTATAGATGGCTTTGCATTATGATCTTAAATATTTCTAATCACTAAAAGAAACATAAGCAGTTTTTAGCACTCAGTGGACAGCAAGCATATGTAGGACCAGTTTTCAAGGTGGTTCACAGTGTACCTTTTTAAGCCAGGAGTGAACAGTGGAAAAAGCCCATGCTGTTCTTAGTTTTTAAGGACAGTGGATTTGTTTTGTGTGACTAGCAATGCACTTATGAGTCAAACAGTGGACTTTTCACTCTGGTGCACCACAGATACTTTCAATTAACCTAAGCAGGTACATTTTTATTCTGTTTTTAGACAACGGATATAATGAGAACTGAGAGCAAAAATGTTTATTATAGCTTCCAAAATTCTTTTTTTTTAGTAGGAGTCTTACTCTGTCGCCGAGGTTGAAGTGCAGTGGCCTGATCTCAGCTCACTGCAACCTCTCTGCCTCCTGATCTTAAGTGATTCTCTTGCCTCAGCCCCAAGCAGCGGGCACCACACCCAGATATTTTTCATTTTTATTTTTGTAATTTATGTAGACACAGGGTTTTACCATGTTGGTCAGGCTGGTCTCAAACTCCTGACCTCAGGTGATCTGCCTATCTCAGCCTCCCAAAGTGATGGGATTACAGGTGTGAGCCACTGCACCCACCATGTGACTTCTAGATTTCTGTTAGAATTTTCATGTGACTTTTCTTACAGATTTGATGTGAGATTAATTGATTTTTTTCAGGAAACTTTTTATTATCATGAAATAAATCTTAGGTGGAAAGATTGAATGTATTAAAGGTGTTTTTGTTTTTGCAACTTTTATAATTTAATCTAGTTATGTTGTCTTAAGAACAAAGAATGACCTGAATCATTTCTGCATTTAAAGTTAATTAATAAATTAGATGTGATACTTGACAAGATTTAATATAATTTTATAGACGCTTCTGAGATCTACTCTCTGTATAGTTTTAAAAAGCATGTACACTCTCTTTGTAATTCTATATCTTTTAAAATTAGACCTCATTAAAAAAGTATCTTTTTATTTGTATTTTATCTTTGAAAGACTGGAATTAGTAGGAACATGTGAAAATCTCCTGTATCAGTTTCATTTCTGAGTTCTAAAAAATTGTTTAAACTTCTCTTTGCATATGTTTTGGGATTATTTGGATATGCTCTTTTACAATGTTTATATTTACTTTCTGGGTTATACTTTTACTGATACAAAATTTAATGTTTTAAGTTCCATTATAATTTCAAAATAAACTTCTTACACAGTTTTTCTTTGTAAGCTATTAGTAAATTGTTATTGAATAAATATTAATTTAATAGTTCCATGTTCCAGGCACACATGTATATACATATGAGGGAAGTACAAGGGAAGAAAACCCTAGGGACGTTCATGATCCAACACATGGGTGTGACTGGATCCTGATGGGTTATACATACAGGGAGTACAAGATATGAGATCAGCGAATAGGCAGAAGTTCAACCTGAAAAGGGCTTGAAGACTTAACAATGTTTGGGTTTTATCTTACTTATATGTTTAAAAGTTTACTCTAATTGTTTAATAAGTATTGGGTAATTATAAGGCATTGAGAAATAAAAAGCCAGGAGAACAATAATGGCCTAAATATAGTAGTCTAGAGGAGAAGTAAGGGTGGCTTGTATCAGGGAGGTAACAATACAGAATAAATAAATAAATATATGTTGAATGTTGATTAATGAACTGGATATAGCAGATGAGGACATGACAAAGCTGGGTATTTATTTGAACTTATATGTAGATGGTTGAGATATTTCAGGTTGAAGAAACTAAGATTAGAAATGGGTTTGTTTTTGGAGAGCAGAGAGAAACAATTAAGAAGCCTGAATAATTTCTATTAAGTGAGAATGTCAAATGGACATTTGGGCATGTGATGTAGAGACAAAGTAAGATCTTAATTTGTGAGTCATTGACATATAAGTAATGTGCGAAATTGTGAACTTGCACAGGCATAAGACTAGAATAGAAAACTTAGAACAAAGGCAAGGGTCATAAATAATATTGACGTGAATAACAGAATGTAGAAATATTTACTAATTACTTATTGAGTGTCAGGCAGTACAAGTCTTTACATGTTTATTCTCTGATTAATCTTTGCAAAACAGTATATGTGGCCGGTTAAATCATTATGCATAACTTACACATTTAGTAATTCAGGCAGAAAGAAGTTCAGAAACTTGACAAGAATCACACTGAGCCATTGTATTGGAATGTACCTTGGACCTACACTCCTTTCCATGGCAATATGCCGTTCTCATACATAGCCACATGTATACTATGAGACAAAGTGAGACAGAGAGAAAATGAAAGTGAGGCAGTAAGAGGGCAAGAGAGGGCTTTTTGAGAGAGTGAATCAAAATGCTAATGATGATCAGATACTGCAGCTAATTTTTAGCATCCGAAAACTGAGATTTGACAAGAGAGACAAATAAATGCATAATCACAATAAAGTACACATAGCATGAGAGCGCTGTGATGAGTACCATGTTGATTCGCAAGAAGGACCTCTCCGTCCTACGGGAGGGCTGCTAAAGAACTTGGTGTTTGAACTAAATATTGCTGGGTGAGATGAGTAATACATATTACATAAAAAGTAGCAGGTAGTGTCACTCTCCTATGTCAATGATCATTTTTCCAGTATCAGTGATATTTGAAACATACTCTACTCATTACTTCACATATATTCACCTCCCCAAAAAGTATCGAGGTAGTATTTAATAACAACATTGTGTAAAACTACAGTAAAAATTGGGAAACGATTTAAGATGTAAAGAGCCATAGTCTTAATGAACTGTTAACATTAGATTTAATTTATTTCTGTCACCACAGTCATAATATTGTAGTGTTATGCTATATTATTAACATATAAAACAAAGCATCATATTATGGCTATTTTTATTTTCTTGTGATATTAGAAATTCTACATTATCATATACATTCTTAGTTTTAGTTTAATCAAAGTATTTAAATGTTTATCATTAAAAAATATATATGTATATAAAATGACATTGGCAATGAATACTTCTTTGCTTTCCATTATTTATAACTGGATGGCATTTAGTGAATATGTTAAATGATGTTCAGTGCAATAAAAAGGACATTTACAAGTCAGCATGAATTTTCAAGGTATGTCTTTTGCGTCATCTGCTAGGATAGATCTTCCAGCACCATTTCATTTTTTTATAACTTGGGATTTACAATTTATTACTGTGGCCCAAATAATGAGAAGGACTCCAGACTAAGTAATGTGTCAGCATTTTTGCCAAAAAAAGTTCAGGATACTCCAAAATATTTTAGATTTTAATTTTGGAGGAAGTATATACTTGATCTTGAGATAGCTTTTAAGTTAGAAACAATATTAGTGAAAGGGCTACATGCCCCACAGTTGTCAGCTTCCATTGCTCCTGCTGAGGGGAACTATCCTCCCCATTGACACGTAGCCACCCTGTCCCTGTGCCTAAACATTTTGGCTGTGGCTGGGTACCCTTCAGAAGACCCAGCCCACAGAGACTTGAACTGTGCCAAGGGTCTCCCACCACTGGGATAGAGAGCAGTGGGGACACCTTCTCATACTCCCATGACAGGTACCACCGCTGATCCTGCAAGAGGGAGGTGTGAGTGGGTCATGCATCTCACAGCTGCTGCCTCCACTGCTCTCACTGACTGGGGATAGGGGAGTGTCTGTATTCCCTCTGGACCGATCCCAGCATAGCTAGCCTGCCCCTACCTAATCATTCAGCCGCAGTCCAGCACCCTCCTCAGATCCCAGGTCCCTGAGGCTGTCCTGGCTGTTACTACCTTCAGGCTTTAGCTGCCTGAGCATTCTGCCAGCACTCTTCAAGCCAACCTCCCCATCTTTGTCACAGTCAGCACCCGGAACATGGGGACTGGCCGTCCAGACACTTTAGAACTCATGTACAGTGTGCAGGGGACCATCTGAAAATCTAGAGATTGAGAGATTGCCTATCCAGTCCACCACTACTGGAACGTGATCACTGCCTCTGGAGTCTGAGATTGGGCCAATCCAACCAGCTGACACCACCCACATGGGCCACAAGGCAGAACACTTACCTTTATCTACATGAAGTAGCAGCAAACCCACACTGGAGAACAGGCAACCACAATGCTGTCTACACTGGGCTGAGGGAAGAAGTCCCACCCTGACCCACTACCACAGAATACTTGAGGACAGGTATTTTCTATGGCTATCAGCTACATTCTGGACTGGAGAGTCAGGAAACTGTCTCATTTGAGAGTCATGAACTCTGGGACAGAGGTGTGGCAGGAAAACAGATCACATTCCTACCTGCACAGGATATGGAACTGGTACAGCTCCCTTCCCAACATACAGAGACCTCAGCACATTTCACCAAGGGCTCCCTCAGACACTTGCATCAGGGCTGGTGTCTGCCTGGTCACTGGGATATTCATAGGGGATCCTGGTAGTCTAGCTCCACCTAGTTTTGACCTCACCACCAGGATGAATACAGAGACTAACCTATCACCTAAAACAACAGAGAGTACATCCTAGTAAACAGAGGTCCAGCATACATCCATCTGCTTTGGCTGTACCTTGCTGTTATTCACAGGTGCCACCTGCTGGCTTGGAGGCTGAACTGCACAACACAATAGAAAACCTGCTGAGAGACGTGCACAGGACTAAATAAGCCAAGCCAAAGGATCCTCCTATATATGCTACATTTGCAACCTCAGGGGAAAAAAGCATCATTGAAATGAAAGTAAGTGTAAAAGTCAGAAGTGACAACTTTCCCATATGAGAAGAAACCAGTGGAAGAACTGCGGTACCAGTAAATAGCAGAGAGTTGCAACGTCTTCAGAGGACCACACTAATCCCCAAGCACTGGATTCTAACCAAAATAAAAATTCTGAAATTACATGCAAAAGAAGCCTTAAAATAAAAATAATAAGGAAGCCCAATGATATCCAAGAAAAGTTAAAACCTAACACAGAGAAATCAGAGAGTACAAAGAGTAAAAGAAGACATAGATACCTTTAAAAAAAAAAACAACATAACCTCTGAAAATGAAAATTAACTAAACGAGTTACAAATTACAATTTAAAGTTTTAACAACAGCCTACACCAAAGAGAAGAAATAATCTCAGAGTACAAAGATAGGTTTTTTCAATGAACCCAATCAACAAAATTTTTTGAAAAATTTAAAGATAAAGCACTCTAGAAGTATGAGATCATGGAAAGTGACCTGACCTATGAGTTATAGACATTTCTGAGGGAGAAGAAGAAAAATTAAAATGATTAACAAACCAATGTGAGGGAATAACTCAGGAAGAAAATCATAAAATTCATATACAACCAAAAAGAACCTAAATAGCCAAAGCAATCCTAAACAAAAATAATAAAGCTGGAGGCATCATGTTATCTAACTTTAAATTATACAATAAGGCTATAGTAACCAACATGACAAGATGCTAGTGCAAAAATATAAAACGGGTCATTGGAACAAGGCAGAGATCTCAGAAATAAAGCCACATAGGTACAACCAACTTTTTTTTTTGACAAAGTTAACAAAAATAATGGAAAAGGGACACCCTATTTAATAAATGGTGACAGAAAAATTATACAGCCATATGCAGAAGAATGAAACTGGACCCCTATCTCTCAGCATATACAAAAATTAACTCAAGGTAGATTAAAAATTTAAATGTATCCAGACAACCATTGATGGGCATTTGCATTGATTACACCATGGAATACTATGCAGCCATGAAAAAGAATGAGATCACATCTTTTACAGAGACATGTTTGGATCTGGAAGCTATTATTCTCAGCAAACTAATGCAGGAACAGAAAACCAAACACCACATATTCTCACTTTTAAGCGGGTGCTGAACAGTGAAAATACAAGGATACAGGGAGGGGAATAACACACAATAGAGCTTGTTGGGGAGATGAGGTGAGAGAGAGAACATCAGGAATAATAGCTAATGCATGCTGGGCTTAATACTTAGGTTATGGGTTGACAGGTGCAGCAAACCACCATGGTATGGAAAGGAAGAGAGAGAGAGAGAGAAGAAAGGAAGGAAGGGAGAGAGAGAAAGATAGAAAGAAAAAAGAAGGGGAAAGAGGAAGGAAAGAAGGAAGGAAGGAGAGACAGAAAAAAGGAAACAAAGGAGGAAGAAAGGAAGGAAGAAGAATTAAAATTAAGACCTAAAACTATAAAAAAAAAACCTATTTAAAAAAAACCTAGAATAAGCTTTTCAGGACATTGACCAAGGCAAATAATTTTAAAATAAGACACTAAAAGTAAATGTGACAAAAATAAAATGAGAATTAATCTAAAAAGTATGTACACAGCAAAGTAATAATCAAGAGTATAAACAGACAACATAAAAAATGGGAGAAGATATGTGGCAGTTATGCATCTGGAAAAGAGTAATATCCAGAATTTCCAAGTAACTCAAACCACTCAAAAGATTAAAACAAAAAAAAAACTCAGTTAAAAAATGGGCCAAGGACATGAACAGACACTTCTCCAAAGAAGACATAAAAGTGGCAAGCAAACATATGAAAAACTTTTCTGCCTTGCTAATCATCAGAGACATACAAATTAAAAGC